TCCGTGAAAGCCCCAGCCCTCCTCCCTCCATGCTCTCCTCCCTGTCCCGCCTCCCCTTCGGATGTAACTCCTGAGAGGTCAAATTCTCACTTTGCCCTGGTCCGAAATCTGGCTGATTCCAGCTAAACCCCGCCTAATCCAATTTCATCCCGCTTAGTCCCCGGCTTCATCCCACTTAATCCGCGGCCTGATCCGGCGTAGTAGCCCCCCAATGGAGCTGAATTCTTCTTGATTCAGGCGATCGCAAGCATGGATCAATTGGACGTGGATCAGCGATGGGTCCCGTTTCCATGGGACATCACAGATTTCCGCCGCCGAGTGAGGCGGCATTGGCAGCATTTCTGGGAGGGCACCTCCCCGATCCCTGGATTTGGCAACCGCGCGCCCAATCCATGGATCGCTGATCCATGCTTGCGCGCCCCCCATGGTCGCAGGCCCAGAGATTGACACCAACACCAATATCGGCGGTGTGCATCTACCGAGGGAAGAAGATCTCGATCTCGGTGATGGTGGTAATATTCTGGCTTCCGAGGTGACCGAACTATGGCCACCAACACCGAAATCTAGGATCATCTTCCCCATGTGGAGGCCTCCAACATGAATCCTTCCGACGAAGGCCTCCCAGCAGTTGCCTCCTCGCTCCCCCGACCGCCGACCGCCGGCAGTTACGCCGGCACCTCCTCCGGCGGCGTCCACGGCGTGTCCCTCACGTCCACGGCGGAGGAGGTGCCCGACCCGGCCCGGCCAGAGGCCCCTGGGCCCGTGCAGGAGGGCCCCCCCTGGGGCAGGGAGAGGGCGGCCAGAGGAAGAAGACTCCCCCTCCCCCATCCCCCCCCTCCCCCTCCCCCTCCTCCCCCTCCTCCCTCCCTCCCTCCTCCTCCTCCTCCTCCCCTCCTCCTCCTCCTCCTCCTCCTCCTCCTCCTCCTCCTCCTCCTCCTCCTCCTCCTCCGCCTCCTCGTCCTCGTCCTCCTCCTCGTCCTCGTCCTCGTCCTCGAACCTCCTCCTCCTCCTTTTCCTCCGCCTCCTCCTCCTTGCGCCGCCTCCCTCCTCCTCCTCCTCCTCCCTCTCCTCCTCCTCCTCCTCCTCCTCCTCCTCCCCTCCTCCGCCTCATCCTCCGCCTCCTCCTCTCCTCCTCCTCCTCCCTCCTCTCCTCCTCCTCCTCTCTCCTCCTCCTCCTCCTCCTCCTCCTCCTCTCCTCGTCCTCCTCCTCCCCTCCTCCTCCTCCTCCTCCTCCTCCTCCTCCTCCTCCGTCACCTCTCCCTCGTTTGTTTCTCTTTTGGGGGGCTTCCTGGGGGGGCCCTCGTCGCCACCGCTGGATTCGCCTCGAAGTTGTGGTCCGAGCGCATCCCCCGAGAGAGGTCCCGGGAGCAGCGGCATCGGTACTTGTCGCTCTCCCAAGGCGGAGCGGGTAAGAGGACTTGGGGGCCCCCCAACGGCGCGGTGACCCTGCCGTGTGGTGAGTGAGTGGGGATTCGGGGTGACTTCACGGTTTGGGGACTTGGGCCGTTCTCCGAGGACGTCTCTGGCGATTGAGGCCACCGTGGTCACAAAACCATTATGTGACGGACCGTGCGGTAGATCGATGGGGAGTTCCAGGTCACCACACGGTCTGTCACTGCACGGTTTTGAGATCCCCAGGAGGACCCGCCACCGTCAGGGGCGACGAGAAGGGGGCAGGATCAGGGGACGATGCATCGACCCCCCATCGCCCAGGACAGTGCGGCCTCGCTCTTGGGGGCATATCTCTAGGCCTCCTAGATGGGGTCGGAGTAGTTGGGGTCGGAGGATCGCTCCGCATCAACAATGCATCGCCGATGCGGCTCGATGTGGAGCCCGATTTGCTTCATGCCGACGTGGCCGATGCATCACCCACGTCGACGATGCATCGCCGGTGCATCGACGATGCATCGACGATGTATCGGCGATGCGGAACGATCCTCCGACCCCATCTATTCGGACACCATCTACGATGCCTCTAATATTGCCGATGCATCAGCGTTCTATCGCTGGTTCCATGTCGACGATTCCCCCCCTGAGCTGGTGCCCTCGTTTCTGCCCATCACACATTGGAGTCGCGACACCAAATGGCGACGGGTGTTCTTCCCTACCCGAGCTCCCGATCCGCCTCGCCCATCCTCCGCGGCCGCCAGGTCCCAAGGGGCCAGGTGTTCCCTGGGGATCCTGATGTCGGGCACGTCCATCTAGAGGAGGAGTATTCCAAATTAGTAAAAAATAGTCTGGGGACGATTTTTTGCTATTTGGGATCATGTTGGTGTAATCTTCGACTATCTTACATGTTTCGTCCAATGTCCGCCTGTAGGGGGCATGCCCGACCTAAGGGGTATCCTTTCTCACGTCGTCGGGGAGTGATGACTGCAGATCGCAGCTGCCAGGCCTCTCGTGGGCAGTGCTTCCCTGGGAATCCCGCCCCTCGCTGTCGGGTGGACATCGACCGACGCAAACTTAGTTGTTCGTTTGTTTGATGTGCCACGGGACCATTTATCGGGAATGACGTGTTGGGCTACGGGCAACGAGAAAACGCCCCCGGGGCAAGGGGTCGGGGCTTCCTGGAACCCGCATGTACCAAAAGGCACAGCGTAGGAGGCCCAGGCAGGAGGAGGAGGAGGAGGCAGAGAACAGGAAAGCAGGAGGAGAAAGAAACGGAGGAGTCGCGATCTCATAGGACGACGCGCGGAGGAAAAGGAGGAGAAGGAGGAGGGGAGGAGGAGGAGAGAGAGGAGGAGGAGGAGGAGGAGGAGGAGGAGGAGGAGGACGAGGACGAGGACGAGGAGAAGAGGAGGAGAAGGAGGAGGAGAGGAGGAGGAAGAGGAGGAGAGGAGGAGGAGGAGGAGGAGAAGGAGAAGGAGGAGGAGGAGGAGGAGGAATGAGGATGTGATACTTACATGTTCGCTTCTTGGGGGCAGCCTGAGGGGGCCCTCGTCGCCATGGCAGGAACTGTCGCTGGCTCCTGGTCGGAACGCGCCCCAGGAGAGGTCGGGAGGTTCATCGCAAGGGAGGAGCAGGAGGAGGAGGAGGAGGAGGAGGAGGAGGAGGAGGAGAGGGACGAGAAGAAGGAGGAGGAGGAGGAGGAGAATGAGGAGAAGGAGGAGGAGGAGAATGAGGAGAAGGAGGAGGAGGAGAATGAGGAAGGAGGAGGAGGAGGAGGAGGAGGACGGAGGAGACGGAGGAGGAGGAGACAGGAGGAGGAGGAGGAGGAGGAGGAGGAGGAGGAGGAGAAGGAGACGGAGGAGGTGGAGGAGGCAGAGGTGCTCCCTTCTCTCTGCGCGCGGCCGCCGTCGGAGGGGAGACCGGGAACGGACGCGCGAGGGGGGAGGGGGGGCGGGCGGTGGGCGAGGGCAGGAGGGCAGGAGGCTCGACCAATGGAGCAGTCGAGTACAGTCGCGGCGCTGAAGAAGGAACCCTTCTCGTTGGCGAGGGGCTCGGTGTTCCCTGATTGTTTTGCAGTTTGCGTTGGGTTTTCCATGGGAAATCGAAGTTTAACTTATGGGAAATAGGGGCCTCGTTCCTTATTTAGGGTTCCTTAGGTCAACGCCCCGACTGTAGGGGATCGGCTGCAGAACCGGTTTGCCCCAGAGGTGTGTTTCTCGTCGAGTCATAAGTAGTAAAGGTTCGTCATTCTGCGAGCGTTCCACGCATCGGTCATGGGTCCGACGACCACATCAGGTTGGGGGTGAGTCAATGGCTGTAGTCGGTCGATCCCCGACTCGGAACAAGGTGGGGAGGAGGGCCACGAGCGAGGGAGCACTGCCACCGGGGGCCGTCTTTAGTTAGGGGCCGGGCCCCTGGGCCCCGTGGGGCCGTCAGAGGTGGAGCCAGGATGGATCGGGGCGATCGAAAAAGGGTACGGAAAAGATGGGCACAGAGACCGAGATCAAGCAGCGGCGAAGCGTCTTGGCTCGCCTACCAGAGAATGTTCTAAGAACCGTTTATGGTCTGCACGAAATCTGATTGAAACATTTCTGGCCGAGACTCTTTGTTTTAACACGAGACTCTTTTGTTTTAACACATCGGGTCTACTGTATGGGTTCTAAGAACATTTCGTGGTAGGGAATGCGGTCGGTCCCTGCTGAAAAATGGGTACGGGAAAAATGGGTACAGAGACCGAGAGCAGTTCCTGCTCATTTTGAACAGGACCCGCTGTCGGTGTCGCCGCGGACGCTGTCCATTTGAGACCGGAGGCCGCCTGGCCAACAGCCCCCGCTGCCAGCTTGGGATAGAATTTGCTGCTGGGCATCATCGTAACTACCCATGTTCCGTACCCATTTCGCACGTCCAGAATGGAAAAAGTGCCTTCGGGGAAAGACCCGACCCTCAGATCCAGGCGTTGCAATTTGATCGTAGAGGGTGTTATCGTCCGGTTTCGGGCCCCGGGGCAATAACATATCGATCCGGCTCGGGAAATGCAGCAGAAAGAGGTGGTCTCGGGCTTCGGTCGTAATTGTTTGTGATGTGGCAATTTTGTTTGCAACATCCGATCTGCCCGTCAGAAGTGGAGCCAGGATGAAGAAGGTTCTGTCGGGGAAAGGGCTGAGACGTCCCTGGAACCCGCTGATGGGAGCCCACAATCCATCCACAGAGGAGGAAAAGGTATCGAGACCGTTGTCCTGTCCTCGTTTTTGGTCTGTGTGTGGGCCTACTGGGAGGCGCTCGACGCCACGGCGGCTGAAATGTTTGTCAGACCTCGGCGGCGAGCGAGGGGGGGAATTGAGAAGGAGAAGGCCTTTTCAGAAGGCGGCGGGACTTCTCAGAAGCTATCGCGCCCTCGGAGAGGTTTTCTCCTCTCTTTGGAGAAGGCGCTCAGAAAGCTTCTCAGCAGTCTGGGGGGCTTGTCAGCCTTCCGAGCAGGCCCGCCCGTTCTCACTTCCCCCTCGCTCGCCGCCGAAGAACGCACTCCAGGAGAGGTCTGGGGAGAAGTGGTATCAGCACTTTTTGTTCCCGCCCCGGAGGCCCTGTGTGGGGTGGGGCACCGCGGCCTTCAGGAGAACCACGCCGCCAGCTTCGCCTTCTCGGGCGTCTCCGGCTTCCCGGTGCGGCTGGAGGCGGGCGTCCCCCCCCCCCCCCCCGCGTTCTCGCCCCGAGGGTGTGGGGCCTCGAGGAGGAGGGGGGAGGGGGGAGGGGGGAGAGGAGGGGGGCGTCCCACCCCCTCTTCTCGCCCCGAGGCTCGGGCCTCGACGAGGGGGGGGCGGGGCGAGAGGATCCAGGCCTCCCATGGGGTCGGAGTAGATGGGGTCGGAGGACCGCGCCGCATCACCGGTACATCGACGATGCATCGGCGATGCGGCTCGATGTGGGGCCCCATTTCCTTCACGCCGACGTCACCGATGCATCGCCCACGTCGGCGATGCATCGCCAATGAATCGGCGATGCTCAGAGGCGACCATAGGGGCGAGTAGCCCAGGTGAGAGCAATACATGGATTCAAGTGCGCCGATGATCTATGCCCTCGAAAAGGCTCCCGGGCGAATACGAGTGATGCCCGCCCCTGGGCTATTCGCCCCTATCGTCGCCGCCGAGGTGCGGCGCGATCCTCCGACCCCATCTGCTCGGGCCCCATCTGGGAAGCCTCCCGAGGGGGGAGGGGCACGCCGGGGCCCCCAGACGGTGTGGCGACCACACCGCGTGGTGAAGTCGGCGGAGGCGGGGGGCCCCCCCGCACGGGTCTCTCGGGACCCGGGCCGTGCTCCGGGGACGTCGGGCGGCGGGTGCCCCTCCGAGGCCCAAGACCCGTGGGGAGACGACGGGCCGCGCGGTTTCGGTCTCCTGGGCGTTCAAGGTCGCCACGCGGTCCGTCACCCCGGGGAGGCTCGAGGAGGCCCGAGGGGCTTCGGCGAAAGGCTCCGTGGAGGGGCCCGAGAGAGGTGGAGACCCCCTGCGGCCGAGGGCAGGCGCTCCCCCCCCTTCTGCGCCTCGAGGGTCCAGGGCACGAAGCTGGCGTTCGAGGCCTTCTCGGGGGTCTTTACCCCCGTGGGGCTTCTCCGAGCGGCTTCTCGCCGCCACGCGAGCGGCGCAGCACAACGGGTTCGATGGCGTGGGCATTCGCGCGTTAGCTTAAGTCGGGCATGTCCCTCCACAGGAGGAGTATTCAAGAATAGTTTCAAAAAAATAGGCTGAGGACGAATTGGTGACTGCGTTTGATTTGTTCTGGAAAATGAGTTGTGATTGACGATTTTTTCAAAAGTCCGTCTGTAAGACGACACGCCCAACCTCAGCGTAAGTTGCTTGCGTAAGATGGTGTGTAAGCGCCCTCCTGCGCTGGCGGCCCGCGCGAGCCACCACGTAAGGTCGCTGCCTCATCCTGCACACGACCTGTCTCTTTTCTTCTCGCGTGGCCGCCACGGCCTGAGATCCGCCGTCCGCAGTTCGGAGCGCACCCTTGCGTAGAAGAGTCCAGGGGGCGGTTTATGTGCAGGGACGGGGGAGAAGGAGGGGGGGGGGGGTCGAGGAGGAGGAGGAGGAGGAGGAGGAGGAGATTCGAGGAGGTTCGAGGAGGAGGAGATTCGAGGAGGTTCGATGAGGAGGGGGAGGAGAAGGAGGAGGAGGAGGAGGAGATTCGAGGAGGTTCGAGGAGGAGGGGGAGGAGAAGGAGGAGGAGGAGGAGGAGGAGATTCGAGGAGGTTCGAGGAGGAGGAGGAGGAGGAGGTTCGGAGAGGCTGATGATGAGGACGAGGACGAGGATGGGAAGGAGGCGAGGGAGGAGATTCCTGGTCCGGCTCGAGGCGGCCCCTCCTCGCCGCCTCAAGGATGGAGGCTCCAGGAGCGGGTGGGCGGCGAGGATCGGGGACGACACTGAAGTCGGGCCTATCCCTCTACGGGAGGAAGATTCAAAAGTAGCCAAACAATATAGTCTGGGGGCCGTTTTTGTTGACTATTCCTGAGTAGTTCCTGGCGTTGGCATCGCTCGGACGTGTGCCTTTTTTTCGGCGAGAACCATCGAGGACCATCCTTTATCACTTGGCGAAAAAACACGCACGAAACCGAAAAAAACACAGGGAATGGACGTCCGAGCGATGGCGAGTGGCATGTTTCGACTATGTGTTTCTTTTCGTCGAAAATCCGCCGGAAGTAGGACACGCCCGACCCGAGGGCGACGCAGAGGTCGGCAGCACCCGGGCCTGCTTCTGCTGCGTGTGCGTCGGCCCCCTCAGGGTTGCGCGACGCGCGGCGTCTGCTCGGCGCTCTGGCGATAATTTTACGTCGGGCACATCCCTCAGGAGGAATATTTCAAAATGGTCAAAAAATAGTCGGGGGAAGGTTTTTTTGCATGTGTTGACTATGTTGGATTATCGTTTTTTACTATGTTTGATTCTTCGTCCAAAATCCGCCTGTAGGGAGGACATGTGCCCGACCTAACCATGATTGCCCGTCGGTCGTTGAAAGTGGGTCGTTCTCGAGTCACGGCTTCCAGTCTACTTTGAGCGCCCTCCTGCTTCAACGATCGAGTGGCTTCACCTCTTCCGTCCTCCCATGGGGGCCGGGTTGACACCCAGTCTGCTTCCAGAGCCTTCCCGCTGCATGTTTCTACCGCCTCCTTCCGACCGATGGGTACTGCCTGGGTACAGTGGTGGCGCGCATCAAGAAACCAAGTGCTTGTCGCCAGGGCATCCTGGGTTGCTTCGATCTGCGCGCTGCGCGGAGACTTCCCGCGGTCGTTGAGAAGCTGCTGCGTTCAGGGTGCCCCGGGCTTCCCCCCAGTCGCACCTCCCGCGCGGGTCCTCAGGGTTGGGTTTCCTGTGAGGGCTTCTTGCGGTCGCGTCCGCACTGCACTGCAGGATCGGTCTGGACGTGCGCCTCCTCCAAGGAGGGCGCAGTGTATTGGCACACCCCTCCGCGTCCCATTACGGTTAAGTCGGGCCCGGCCCTCTACAGGAGGGAGATCCACAGATAGTCAAGAAATAGTCTGAGGAGTATGTTTTGACAATTGTTGAGCATTTGTTGTAGTTTTTGACTATTTCTAAAATGTGCACAAGAAAAACCCTGTAGGGGGACACGCCCGAGCTAACATTATTGGTGGGGGAGGCTCGGAGGCGAACGCGTCGATGCCCCATCGCCCATTCCCTCGCCGACGGCCCACCCCACTCGGGAGCGTCCAGGCATCGCCATCGGGGGCCTCCCGCCGATCCGTCGGTGACGCATATCGCCGACTCCAGGACGATGTCTCCCCTCGCTCCCCTGGTACCGGACACCCACACCCCACCTGTGCCTCTCGAGGTCGGGCCCCTCTCCCCCCCCTGCAGCCTCTGGAAAGTTCACGGTAGGTTCGTGCGGCGATGGCGCGCCCGCGACGCTGGTGAAGGCGTTCCAGGGTGAACGCCTCATGATCGAACGACGCGGAAGCACCGAGGGACACTGCAACGCCGTTGGACCCGACGGAATTCAACATTGAACGATCGGGGCCGCGATCGATTCAGGGGTGAACGATCGACGCGGTGTCGAAAACCTCTGCGCGCGTCGACGCCGCACAGACCTACCGTACCGCGGGGCACCCTGCGCGGGCCGTGCGGCTCGAGCCTCGCGCGGGCCTCCGCGGACGGAGCCGCCGATAGGGGCGGCGCCGCTCCGCCCGGCTGCGAGGGGGGGCCTGCTCCGTGCTCCTCGCCGTCCTCTGCCGGCACGGGGCCTCTCCCCAGCCGGCCGCGCCGAGGAGAGCCCGCTGCCCCCAACAACACAATGAGGCCCAAGGTTATCCGTTGTAAAAGGACTAGGTGCGAGATTTGAAAGGACCACTTTGACTGAAAACGCCCGATGGGCTGGCCAGGGCTCTCGTCGTCGGTCGCTGTCGGGGCTCAAGAGACGGGGGTCAGCGTAAACGGGAGTCAGCCAGAGCGCCGGATCTTGCAGGATCCTGGAGGGCTTGGGCGCAGGACCCTGCAGGACAATGCAGGATCCTTCGCATTGGCCCGGTTTGGGTGCAGGATCTCGCAGGATTCTGCAAGCCCTGACTGACCCGGGTTTGGATTGACCCGGGCCAGAAGATCCCCGATGTTGTGTCGTCGTTGTTGCTGAGCCTCTTCAGGAGCGCTTGGCATCGCTCGGACGTGTGTTTCTTTTTCTCGGCGAGGACCACTGAGCATCCTGAATCATCGAGCAACAAAAATACACGCACGAAACCGAAAAATGCACGGGGAATGGACGTCCGAGCGATGGCGAGACGGGGAATGAGCGGGGACGTTGTGCCGTCTTCGTCGCCGAGCCTCTGCGGGAGCGGGGCTCCGCCGAGCGGTCTCTGCCGGAGCGGTCTCTGCCGGAGCTGGGCGTATGCCTGAACGGCCTCTGCCAGAGCTGGCCCCTGCCTCGGAGCGGGCCTGCCGCAGCGGGCCTCTGTTGGAGCCGGCCTCGTCTTTCGCCGCGAACGTGTTCTATTTGATGGCGAGTGGGAATGGGAGGAGGAGGAGGAGGAGGAGGAGAGAAGGAGAGAAGGAGAGAAGGAGAGAAGGAGAGAAGGAGAGAAGGAGGAGGAAAAAGGAGGAGGAGGAGGAGGAGGAGCGAGGAGCGAGGAGCGAGGAGCGAGGAGCGAGGAGCGAGGAGGAGGAGGAGTAGGAGGAGGAGGAGGAGGAGAAGGAGGATGGGGTGAGATTATGGAGAAGGAGGAGGAGGAGGAGGAGGAGGAAGAGGTGGAGGAAGAGGAGGAGGATGCAGGAGGAGGAGAGGGAGGGAAGGAGGAGAAGAGGAAAGGCGGGAGGGAGCGAGGGAGGAGGAAGAGGAGGAGGAGGAGGAGGAGGAGGAGGAGGACGACGAGATTGAGGAGGAGGAAGAGGAGGAAGAGAAGGAGGAGGAGGAGGAGGGAGGAAAGGGCGAAGGAGGAAGGAAGGGGGGAATGAGGGTGGAGGAAGGAGGGGTGACGGAGGAGGGAGGGGGGAGGGAGGGGGACTCTCATTTTGCACTCCCCTCCCCCTCCTTCCCTGTGGCTCTCGTAGGCCTTGGTCTCCTCACTCACGCGAGCGAGCTGCGGGCGCAGTGCCCCTCTGCAGCTGGCACTGGCGGCGTCCACGGAGGAGCACAAAACTCCCCCTCCCTCCCTTCCTCGCAGAGGCCGCGGCCCCGCGGGCGTTTATCCGCCGCGGACTTGGCATCGCTCGGACGTGCGCATGCTCTCTCGGCGAAGACCCTCGAGGAGCCTGCTGGATCACTGCTCGGAAAAAAGGAGCGCACGAAGCCGAACCATGCCCGGGGAGTGGACGTCCGAGCGATGGCGAGCTTCCCCCTCCCCCCTCCTCGCAGGGGCCGCGACCCCGCGGGCGCTCGTCCCCCGCAGAGGTGCTGGGCCCCAGCGACCCGGCCGTCGGCAGGGACTTCCTCTTCTCGCTCGTGCCCCTGAGCTGCTTCGCTTCCGACGCCGGGAGCGCGGGGGGAGGGGCGGCGGAGCCGCCGCAGGCGTCGAGGTTCGAGGTCGGGTGTGCGGGCGAGTTCGTCGGTCCTCCTCCTCCCCCCTCCTCCTCCTCCTCCTCCTCCTCCTCCTCCTCCTCCTCCTCCTCCTCCTCCTCCTCCCTCCTCCTCCTCCTCCTCCTCCTCCTCCTCCTCCTCCTCCTCCTCCTCCTCCACCCTCCTCCTCGCTTTCCAGCCTCTGGAAGCCCTCCTGCGGCTGCGCCTCGTCCCGAGCTTCTTGGGAGGGCCCAGGGCGTGCCGAGCGGCCGCCGGCGCCCTGAGCTCGTGGCGCGGAAAGTATACCAGGGGATCGAGGATCGAGGGAGAGAAAGCGGCACGGCATACAGTCAACTCGCATGATAAGGATGGGCAGCCTTCCCAAGGGTACCCCTTGCATCCTTGCCCCCATCGGCCCATCCTTCGCCACGTTCGTTGGCCGCGCCCCGCTCGACGAGCTCCGAATCGGGCGTCCAGGGCCCTTGCATCCGTATCGCACATCCTCACTGCACGGGTCGACTGTAAACATCAATTGGGTAGATGACCCAGGCTTCCCAAAGCATCGATCCAGGCCTCCAGCAATCTGGGGGGGCCTGGACCGATCGATGATCTGGGACTCGCAGATGCAGGATTGGGTCGGGGGAACGCGCCGCATGGCCGGTGCATCGGCAATGCGGTTCGACGTGGAGTCCGATTTCTCCACGCCGGCATCGCGCATGCATCACCGACGTCGCCGATGCATCGGCGATGCGGCGCGATCCTCCTATCCCATATACTAAGGAACAGGTCGTGCAGTCGTCCGAGGCTCAAGTGTGGTATAGAGAGAGAGAGAAGATGAGAAGACGACGAGTAATACTAATAGAAGAAGGCGAGGAAGAAAGATAAGGGCAAAGGGACGGACAGACCAACAGAGGCAGCGAAGCAGACGGAAAACTCGGGCGGAGGGACGCACAGAGAGGCGGGCAGGGGCCGACAACGGGACGGACGAGAGGGGCAGAGGAGAGATAGAGGCAGACAGGCAGAGATAGAGTCGGGCAGATGGTCTTCAAGCTCCCTCCCTCCCTCCCCCCGCTTCCCCCCTCCAGCCCTCCGGCCCTCCGCGTGCGTGGGGAGCACGCTTGGCAATCCGCCGCCGTAGCCCGCTCCCCAGCCCGTGCGCTCGCCCTCCGTCCCCCTCGCCGCCGCCGTCGCCGTCTCCCCTCCACGCCGCCGTCGTCGTCCTCGCCCTCCCCCGCTTCACCCTGCCGTCCCCTCTCATGTCTTCCTTTCCTCCCCCCCGCCCCTCCCTCCATGAAGTCACTGGAGGTCTCCAGAGCTTGGTCGGCCCCAGAAACGGCAGGGCCAGTTTTTTCACCGCTTCGGGGAAAAAGAGTCTCTTGAAACTGGAACGGCAAAAAAACAGCGATTGGGCGACAAAAAAAACGGCTCCGGGATTGGAAGGGGAACCGGAACCCGAAACAAAACGGCGACGGAATTGGCGAAAAAAATGGAACGGAACCAGTGAAAAGATTGCCCTGTCGGTTCTACGGCACACTGAGCTCCAGAGGCCTCCAGAGGCCCAAAGGGAGCCTCAGGAGCGCTCGAGCGCATCGATCCTGCCTCGACCTCCCCTGCCTCCCCGCGAGTTCGCGACAGGGCCCCATGCCGCCCCCTGGGGCCGGGAGCGAGCCGCTCTGGGGGAGAGGGCAGGGCTAGGATCGGGATAAATCGCTCCAGAGCGTTCCGGAGCGCTCTCAGAGCGTTCCGGAACGCTCTTGAGCGGCCGCGGCGCCCAGTACATCCTTCAAACCCGCCGATTCTCAGAGATTTCGAGTTATCCCGATCCGATTTTGTCCCGATCTTCGCGTCGTTTTGGGCGGGGCGGGCCCTGCGGGAGGGGAGCCCAGGAGGAGGCCCCCCTGGCGCATCGATCGGTGCCGCGCGGGCAGCGCGCACGCGGCAGAAGCGAAGCGCGCGTGCGCCGCCTGCGAGGGGGCCCTGCGGTGAGGCCCCCTGCGCACCCCGCACCGCGTGAGCGCCGGAGGTGCAGGAAGGTGGTTCTTGAATTCAAATACCGATTTTTGAATTCCAAAACCGATGCCCGGTTTTTCACCACCCACCAAATCACCCCAACCCAACCCGAGGGCCTCAATTTGCCGTCCATTTCCAGTAGGGGGGGTCGGGGAACATCGAAAAAACACGTATGGAGCTCATACCCCCCCCAACCCGAAATTCTGGTCTTCGGGTTGGGTTGGGGTGGTCTGGTAGGTAGTCAGTTTCGGAATTCAGAAACCGATGCTTGAATGCAGGAACCGATGTTTTCGAATTCGGAGACCGATGCCCGGGCGCGTTGCGCGGGCGGCACGCCGAGGGCGTAGCGTGCGGGCCGCGCGCGCACGACAGTTCGGAGAGGCTGTGCGCTGGATCCTCTGGCGCGAGGCGGTCGTTGCCTTACTTCGGGCCTGTGCCTTTGCAGGAGGACTATTCAAAAATAAGCAAAAAAATAGTCTGGGGAGGATGTTTTGACAATGTTTGCATATTCTAGGGCATTGTTTGGCTATTTTAAAAATTCTTCGTCCCAAATCCCCCTGTAGGGGGACAGGCCCGACCTGATCGTTGCCCCAGGCCCGCCCCCCTGCCGTCGAGCTGTACGAGGCGCGGGCCCATGCCATGGCGCCAGCATCGCAGAACGGATCTCGTTCAGGAAACGCTAGGATGGGCTGGAGTGTCCTGGAGAATCTCGTTCTGGATTTCGAGGTGACTTTCGTGCGGATTTTTGGTTCCAGGAATGAAGACTACAAAAAATCCACGCGAAATTCACTTCGTTTTTCACTCGCCGTTTCGGGGTTTTGCATGGACAAATCCACGCGTAAATCCGCTGCAGCACGTCTGCAAGGTCGGTGCAGTGGTCCTGATCCATGCAAGCGGGGATCAAACAGAGCGCTGGATCTTATCTTGGAGGATCTCGCAGAGCCATGGTTGCGTTGACCCGGGCTGGCGCGCAGGATCCTGCCTGATGTTGCAGGATCTTGCGAAGAGTTTTTGTTTAGTAGACCGTGCATAAAATCGTTCGGGCTTGGGCGGGTCCGAGATACGACGCGCCCTCTAAGATACCCCTCTCCTGACTGTCTGGTCCATGTCTTGCGTCACATGTTATTGCTACGCCAAGATCGCGCTGGCCATGGCGCCATGGGATGCCACGGGCCCCCCAGCGGTCATCGACTGGGTTCATGGGAGAGGGTGTTGCAGGACGTCCTGGATTCTGCTTCTGTATACGACATATCTCTTCTACGGGGTGGTTTTGTATACCAAACTTTCCCTCAGGGGGAGGCGATCTGACCCTGGCGAGGTGCCCGCGCCAGCGCCGTCCGGCCGCCGCACGGAAGCAACCCAAAGAAATCGATTGATGTGGGCGTTGTGGCATTGCAGGGTAGGAGTTTATTGGGGACCACCTCTGCTCGGGCTTCGCAGAGTCGCTCTCTTTGGAAACCTTCGGGGATATTTCCTGGAAAGGTATTCGTATACAAGCAAGAATTGGAGCAATTGACTTGTTGGGCCAGTAGAAGCCCGATACTGGGTAAAGGTAGCGATCGTACGCACGGGTGAGGCGAGATTGGACCCACACACACACACACGCACACACACACACAGAGACACATGCTGGTGCTCGCGCGCACACTAAGGCGATCGCAGCGCACCCTGGCCACGAGGTGCGCCACCCCGCTCATGCGGTAGTGTTACCCCGCCCTCCTGGGTAACTACCGTTACCAAGTAAGTCTGAACCGTGCCTGGAAGGCACATCGGTTGCAGTGCGCAGCTGCTGCACGCACTGCGTACGGCGCAGCGGCGTGGCCCTCAGGTCGATAGATCGAGGCTCGAGAGATGGAATCGAGAACGGAGTCGAGAAGTCAAGGCTCGGTCGAGAAATCTCGAAGTGCCTCTCGAAGCTGTCTGGCAGCTGCGCACGCGCCCAGCAGGCCCTCACCGCGGGGCATGGCAGGCCGTGCACCCTTGGGCGCGGGTGGGCTCTGGCGGCTCCCTTCGCTCTCCCGCGCGCATCCTGCGCGGGTGTTCTGGTCGTCCCCCCTTCCCTCCCTCAGAGATGTTCGTCCTCATCCTCCAACCCTCATCATTATCATCAGCAGCATCAGCAGCAGCATCATCAGCAGCATTATTATCCTCATCATCCTCGTCGTCACCAGCGTCATCATCAGCAGCAGCAGCATCATCATCATCAGCATCGTCATCATCAGCATCATCAGCATCATTATCATAATTAGCATCATCATCATCATCATCATCAGCATCATCAGCATCATTATCATCATTAGCATCATCATCATCATCATCATCATCATCATCATCTTTATCATCTTTATCATCTTTATCAGCATCATCACATGCATAAGCATCAGCATCACCATCGTCATATTCAGCATCCTGATCCGAATCGGCATCATCATCATCATCATCGTCATCATAATCATCACCATCGTCAGCATATTCATCATAATCGACATAAGTAACATCACACGTAGCATCATAATCCGCATCATCATCAGCAGCAGCATCATCATTCCTCATCTTCTTCCATCCGTCGATTTGTCCCTCGCCTCCTCCCTCCCTTCGTGCTCATGTTACCGAGCCAGCCCGCTCCTCCTTGTTGGCAGCATGGTTCAACAGCAGCTCACGGATCATCCATCCTTCTGCTGCTCCTCCTCCGAGTCTTCGTCCCTCGCCCTCCCCCCTCCACTATTCATTCGGCCCTTTCCCCAGCCCCCCCTCATCCCTCATCCATTCCTCTTCCATCTTCCACCCTCCCTCCTGTCTCCTCCTCAGCATGGGGTGGGGGGGAAGTTTATTCTTAGCGCCTCCATTTCAATCACAAGAGAATGTTGGCCGGTCAGACGAGTGCGGCAGTGACCGAGACCGACGTTGAGCAGAACCTCCTCAGCCCTCTCCCCCATGAGCACTGCCCTCGACTTGAATCCCTGACCAGGCTCCTTCAGGAGCACGTTCGGGGCGAGACCTCGAGGCGCATCCAGCCGTGGCCGCGAGGGACCCCCCCCCGGGAGGTTCGCTATCACCACCGCAGCCGGCTCCTCCGCTTGCTCCGCCAGGAGCGTGTTCGTGTAGCCCTTGGGCCATAACGCGCGTTACGCCCCCCCAGCAACAATAAAAATAAGAATAATAACAACAACAACAACAACAACAACAACAACAACAACAACAACAACAACAGCAGCAGCAGCAGCAGCAGCAGCAGCAACGGCAACAACGGCAACAACAGCAACAACAACAACAACAACAACAACAACACAACTGGGTCGTCTGCGCCGACACTAGCGCGTAAGCTGCCCGCGTAAGGTCGCGCATAAGTGCCCTCGTCTCCACTGCAGCGTGCCGCGGTGGCGGTGCGCGCAAGCTGCGGCGTGAGGTCACCGTGCCATCTCGCGTGAGACCCGCTGTTGATCGACGCTCACAAGTGTTCTTGGGACGCTCCCCCCCCCCCCACGGCCGTTGGCCTCCCCCGCTTCCCCCTCTTGCACGCTGGCCAGCTCGCTGTGCGGTGCCCCCGTCCAGTTCCTGTCGGTGGTGCAGCCAGCTCTGCCGCGTCGCCGGCGGACAAAAAGTGTTCGCGGGACGCTTCTGGGGTGGCTCTTGGGGGCCGTCCTTCAGGAGGGAAAAAAACACGGACACAATGAATCGTCGATTCCCCCGAAAATATGGGCAAATATGGGCAGTGGGGGGGAAGACAAAAACCAAGAAAATGTAGGAAAATATAGGGAGTCCTTTTATTTGTGTGTATTTATTTGTGTGTCCCAGGGCCCCTTCAGTCCTGGGGGCCCCGTGGGCCCCATCTTGGGTCTCCTTCGGGAGGCACCCGTCGGACGCGAGCACGCGAGAGGGCAGCACCCGCTGCCTGCCCCCGGGTGTGGGCAGCGCGTTGGCCTCTTGGGGGGGGGGGGCGCCTCGGAAGCCTTGGGGGGGGGGGGCACTGAGAACCATCCCAGGGCTGTCGTTGTAGGCCTCCCAGATGGGGTCGGAGTCAATGGGGGCCGAGGGTCTCGCCGCATCGCCGATGCATCGCCGATGCGGCTCGGCGTGCAGCCCGATGTGCTTCACGTCGACGTCGCCACTGCGTCGCCGACGTCGACGATGCATCGCCGGTGCATCGCCGATGCATCGCCGATGTAGCGACGATGCGGCGCGATCCTCCGACCCCATCTACTCCGACCCCATCGGAGGCCTCTAGTCTTGGAGTGTGTCGGAGGTGTGTCGGCCGATATCGCGAGCCCTCCTGAAGTATCTTGAAATAGCTTGGGCCCTCTTGGGGCCATCTTGGACGCTCTGGCTATGTTGTCAACAACCCCCTCCGTCCAGACCCCAGGGGGAGGGGGGACGGGCAAACCCCATGCCCGAAAAGGGGCATGGGGGGGTTCTCAGAAGAGGAGTAGGAGGAGAGGAGGAGGAGAAGGAGGAGGAGGAAGAGGAGGAGGAGGAGGAGGAGGAAGAGGAGAGAGGACGGAAAACGGGTCCCCGTGAAGTGGTTTGGTCGTGAAGTGGTCTCCGTCTAGAGGACCGGTGGGAGTCCTTACACTCCCTACGCCCAGAGTGCTGGTGGGACTTGCAAAAGATACGCGGGCGGAGGACGGCTTCTGTTTCCTCAAAGCGGGGTTCTCAGTGAACACCTTGCATTGTATGATCCTACATCTGGGTACGTCTTATTGCTCAGATTGTGCATGGAGTGCGGCTCTTTTTCAAAACGGAGTTGTCGCTGGACTGGCAGGTTCATGGGGCGATCACATGTTCAAATTGGGCGGTTCCCGTTTTCTGTAGAATGATTGCGCGGAGAGCTGTATGAGATGGATGCTTTTGATGAAGGAAGGTTGTGCTTGAGCATCCTTGGCAAATGTTGCGTGTATCATGTTGCGTCTCCTCCTTCTCCGGGTGAGCCGCGAGGCACAACCCGAATGGCACGAGAGGTTGGCACATGAACATGTTAAACATGCGACGGGTAGCACAACACTTCACACGGCGAGGAATACACGCTGGTCGTTGGAAGCTGTGTTTCTGAGTTCCCAGATCCCAATCTATTTAAGGCGCCTTCCTGCTTCAAGGATCGGGCGTGTGTTCCTCTTCCCTCCGTTTCAGGGGGCCGGCGGAAGCGCAATATATCTCCAACGCCTTCCCACTTCATGCTTCTACCCAATTCTTCCGACCGATTGGCATTTCATCAAGCAGTGGGAGGGCAACGTAGTCAGAAAGCCCGCACCCTCCTCTTCTTGAGATTCCCCTTCCCCGTCCCCTCCCCTATTACTGCTCTCCCCTGCCAAGCTGCCCCCCCTTCCGACGAGGACGGGCGCATCCACCACCAGAACGGTCTCCTGGGCGCAGGGCGTAGCAGGGATCTATATCAGCCCTTCCTCCCTTCCTCCCAGGTGTGAGGAGGAGAATCAGGAAGGAATTCCATACTTTGGTTTGTGTTTCCCGAAGCTGTTCCTGAAGGGTTCTTACTTGTTTTGTGAAGAACAGGAGGCTGCCAACCCCCATATCATAGAGGCGGGCCTGAGCCTTGTCTGGTTCCCTGGTCTTGGTTTCTTGGCTTCCTTGTCCGGGTGCCCCAGTCTTGTTCTTTGGGTTCCCCCGTTCTTGCTCGGTTCCTTGTCTTGTTCCCTGCCTTCTGGTCTCGAGCTCCCCGGTCCTGTTCTTCGGGCTCCTTGGTCTTGCTCTTTGGTCTTCCCGACGTCAGCAGTGCCGAGCATCATGTACGGAGCAGTGGCAAGGAATGCCAAGCGATGCCCATCACAATGCCAGGCAGTGGCAACCAACGCCAAGCAGTACCAAGCAGCGTGCCCATTGCCGCTGCTGGGTGGTCGCGCCGGGCCCCCTGCCTTGCCTCGGGCGGGCAAGGGGGGGGGGGGAGCCCGTCGCCACGGCCGCATCTCCGCCTCGAGGCCCTGGTCCGAGGCGCTCCGAGGGAAGCCTGGGGGGCGATCTTTGAGCGGGAGTGGGAGGCGGGGCATGGATCGGCGGCGAGCGAGGGGGGGGGGAGCGAGAAGGGGCGGGCCTCCTCAGAAGGCTTGGAAGTCCCCCGCGGCCTTCTGAGAAATGTTCCGAGCCTCCCCCTAGCGCCCAAAAAATGTTGATTAACATAAGGCCAGAGTGTTTCTGAGAAGTCCCGCCGCCTTCTAACAAGGCCTTTTCCTTCTCACTTCCCCGCCTGGCCCGCTGCCGAATGGCGGTGTTCCTCGTTGTCCCCGTTCGTGCTCCTACACCTCCCCCTCGCCCTGTCCCTCCCAATGGTACACATTCCCCTCCTCGCCCAAGCCTCCACCACTGCTCAACATGAAAACAATTCCCCTCGCTTCCAGATTCTCTGTCCAGTGGGGGCGGGGGGGGGGGCGACGCACGGTATTTCAAGCAGTGGCGATGGTATACAGTAGGAGCTCGCCCCCAAGAAACCTTCACAAGAGACCCAACCCTGGACCCCCAGGGCGTCCATTGATATGTGTGCTGTGGGAGCGCCATGCCCTCCATGCCAAAACCACCGAAGCCCAAGAAACCCAGGGCACCCGGGAGGCAAGCAGGGTGTTGCTTGCCATGGGCTTCCGCTGTAGGCGACCTGACTGTCAGGCGACGGAGGGGCCGAGAGCAGGCGCTGCGGATGCAGGAGACAGGCCAAGACACTGCACAAACGTTAAGCTTCCGGCAGTCCGCGCGGATTCACCGGAGATCGGCGCCGACCACCCTCCCTCGAGGGGATGGACAGACCTCCTACCCTGACACGTCGATTGAGGAATTGGCCGTTTTCGGTTCGCGAGATGGCGTCGCGGCTGTCATTTTTGCGGGTCCAGGTCCGTCGGTTTCGGTCCCAGGCCGTTCTCACTAAGGGGAGGTCTACTAAAGGAAGGTTTGTCCACCGCCGATCCCTCCAGGGGTGCGCGCAAGACCGCGCGCGGGGGCGGCGCGCCGGAGAGTGCTGCCATGGGGGGGGGTGTTCCCGCGCCGATCTCCACGGAAGCCGCGCGGAGCTCCGAAAGTTTTACGCTTACAGCGGGCAAGCGTTAACTCGGGCACGTCCCTCTACAGGAGGAAAATTCAAAAATAGTCAAAAGCTAGTCGAGGGACGATCGGTTATGCATTGTTTGACTATTTGGGAGAATTTTGTTGTTAGTCTATTTTGATTTTTCGTCGAAAATCCGCCTGTAGGGGGACATGCTCGACAGAAGCATGGGTCTCCACTGCTGTCTTGCCTGCCCGGCCGTGTCTTTCGCATGCGCTCGCCCACGCGGGCGCTGCCTTCGGCCGTTCGTCTCTGGCAGTCCCGCACGGCGCCGATCTGGCGGGGAGGGCGGACCTTGTCGGGGCCCGGGCGTTGCGCGGCGAGCCCCGGGGGAGGGGGCGGGCCCTGGAAGGGCGCCCGGCCAGGCACCGCCGGGCCGCGGCCTTGCCTGGCCGTGGCGCAACTTCTGGTCGCCGCGGGGATGCCGATGGACGGCCCCATCCTATGGATGCCGCTTGGGTCCCCGTTGATTTCTCGTGGTGGCACACTGCCCAGCACTCTTTACATTATGGAACAAAAACGGGTTGGAGGGGTTGTGCAAGGGAGGGGGGGGGCGACGTCCGGTCGCCGCTCGGATGGTTCATGGTCGGAAGTTGGAACGTATACATTACCAGTGGCGGGCTGGTTTCCAAGCCCAGGATTATTCGAGGGTCGGAGACGACGTCGGGGTGGTGTGGTGTGTACTTGTTGTTCTGCTTCCCGGAGAAACGATGAAACATGTATACACCAGTATCCCGTATACACCGGGATCCGTTTTCTTGTTTGCAAATTTCGGTTGCGAGCGAGGGGGGAAGTGAGAAGGAGAAGGCCTTCTCAGAAGGCGGCAGGACTTCTCAGAATGCCTCCGGCCGTCTGAGAAGTTTTCTGTGTCTCCGGGAAAGGCTTAGAAAACTTCTCAGAAGGCCGGGGGACTTCTGAGCCTTCTGATGCGGCCCGCCCCTTCTCACTTCCCCCCCTCGCTCGCCGCCGAAAATTTCAGTGCAGGGCCGGAAACAGCGTCGTGTATAGAGTTCGTTTCCTTATTAGCATGTGTGGTCAGTGTTCCGGTCGCCGTTGGTAATCCTCTTATTTCTGGCGCATTTTATTGTTGATTGGTGGAGTTATCGATTGCAGCCAAGACGTGAATTTGGAGTCCCGAAACGGTGCGGTGACAGACCGTGCGGTGACCTCGAAATCCCGCAAGGCCTCACCGCACGGACCGTCAACGCACGGTTTTGGGACCTCGGATGCCCCAGTCGCCCGAGACGTCTTCGGAGAACGACCCGAACCCCAAAGCCGTGCGGTGACCCCGACTTCCCACCGACTCGCCGCACGGTGAGTGGTCACCACCCCGTTGGGGGACCCCCGAGGGAAACGAAGGGCCGTCCAAGGCCCGGCAGGGGCTCTGGTCGTCGAACCGGTCTCTGGACCCGGGTCGGGGAGCCTGGCTGCGTAGCCGGGGTTCGCCGTGGCGCCAGAAAAGCCCTGTTCGTGCATTGCTCGGCGCTCCTCACAGCGGCACGAGGACGGCTTCACGGGTGTTCCTGTGGGCGGTGCATGTTCCGGTGGGTTCTTACCGGGGTCCTGCGGTGATTGCCCCTTATGGCAAAGGGATGTGGATCGTGAGAGTCCGTGGGTTGGCATAAGTATGTGTGTTGTTGGGTGTGTTGCTGACTTTCTCCTGTGTTGTAGATTGGGTTTTCGCGGTGATTTGCGATCGTCTGAGGTCAGCGTTCTTCAGTTGTTTATCGGTGCGGCGGGAAAGTGGAGGTTACAGCCTCTTACACAGCAGCCACTTCGACTACAGTCACTTCTGCTTCTACAACCACAATCGGAGGGGCGTCTGCTTACAATGATCACTCCCACTCCCTTTTGATATTCCTCGACCACTTCCCCTGTTCTCCGTCAGAAGTGCCGCTGATCGAAGCACAGGCAGATTCAGAGACTCATGCCCACATCCCAGCACTGGTAAATTACCGCATTCACTTGTTGGAGGATTTGATTCTGGCGATGTTGAGGCGATTGGTGCGAAGTCATTCCTGTATTCGTCCGTTGTACTGACTTGCGTGCATGCTCCCGTCCTTGTGATGCGTGCATGTGCTCTTTCAGCTGGTGTGCAGTCAAAGCGTCGGAACAAGGACCACTGGTTTCGGAAGGGACTCGGGGTCCCGCAGGGTCTGTCTGGTGTCGTTCCTCGATTGTTCCTCGCACATCCAGGCGCAATTAGGGCCAACAAGGCGGAAGTTCGATTCCTTTCGTGCGGCTCCTGGCGGCGAGGCGATGCACAAGTGGTTTAATAAGTGAGCCAGGCGAGGTGAGCCGATACGAAAGGATGCGAGGCAAGAAGAGGCAAGGTTGAGGCTGAGGTAAAACGAGGCGAGGCGCTCGTTGTGTATTTTGACGGCTGCTAGGGAGGGGGGGCCACGTTTCCTCGTTGTTTCGGCTGTTTGCGGATCGACGAGATGATCTGAGTAGTTGACAATGAGGAGTCTGGGGAGTATGAGCAGAAGTTTTAGAAATCGGATTTGCATTGTAGAGCCAGAGGTTCCCCTTGGGCACACTTACAAGCATCGGGGAGACGTAAGACTCGACTTTGCCTGAACTCGGGTTTGTCGACGCTCGTTGACGGGCCCGTCCTGAGTTTTGACGGGCCAATTGTCGTGCGATGCTTGCAGCGGGAATTCGCGTCGAAGTTCAATTTGGGTCTCGTTGTTTTCCTGAGTGCCCCGTCAGTCCAACCCCGGTCCCCTGATCCCGAGTAGTACGTCCCCCCGACGGCAGGTGGACATGAAAGAGTGCACGCGTGGCTTTCTCTGGCGCGCACTGACAAGCCGGTGGACACCGCAGCGTGCGTCCGTGTTGCTTGCGTGCACGTGCGGGTCATTGTAATGCAGGCCGCGGGCCGCGGGCGTAGGACTGTGGTGCCACACTTCTGCGACAGCGGTACCAAGCAGCATTTGTCCAGCTGCCTGCGGCAAACTTCGTCACCGCGCCTGCGCAACAACGCAGCCGGAAGGAGACTGAGTGTAGGAGCAGCGCAGGTTCGACGAGTTGTCTGAATTAGGACGGGCGGTAGGGGGGTGGTCAAGTTCATGGCCTCCAAGACGGCTTCCGAGGCAGCCAAGATGGCACCGTGCGTCCGTGTTGCGTGTGTGAGCGCGCTGACCATGGCATTACAGGTCGCGTGCGTGGGATTGCTGGGCCGTAGTTTGCGGCATCGGCATCTCTGCAGCATCGGCACCAAGCAGGTCTTGCTGGCGGGGAAACAAAGCCAGTTGCGAATTGCACGTCGAGGACCAAGGTGTTGCATACCATGACAATCATGGTCATGCACCAGGGGGGCGCGGCTGCGAGCTGCATGGGCGCAGTGTCTGGCTTTTCCGAGTTACGCACAACAGGTATTGAAATGTTGGGTTTCGGTCAACAGCCGTACTTGAGCGACGAATCAGCACGGTTTCCATTGCGAGGGCATCCGCCGCAAGAGGCCCGCGCAAGGTCGCGCGATGTCTCAAAATCTCCTTAGGCCTTCTGAGCGTAGAGCCGATCGGATCTCTGGTGGCGGCAGCGGAGGAGGAGAAGGAGGAAAGGGAGAAGGAGGAGGAGGAGGAGGAGGAGGAGGAGGAGGAAGAAGAAGCAGAAGCAGAAGCAGAAGAAGAAGAAGAAAGAAGAAGGAGGAGGAGGAGGAGGAGGAGGAGGGGGAGGGGGGGGGAGGAGGAGGAGGAGGAGGAGGAGGAGGAGGGGGAGGGGGGGGAGGAGGAGGAGGAGGAGGAGGAGGAGGAGGAGGAGGAGGAGACAATGGAGACAATGCAGAGAGCGTGCAAGTGAATCACGAACACGCCTCGGGACAGAGAGGGAGAACCAAGGGAGCAAACCTCATCCTTGTGCCTCGGGCTCGGGCTCCTGCGGCGGCATCGCAGGCTCCTCGAGCTCCGAGAAGACAAGCGGCTCGAGGGGCACGCCCGTCTTGGGATGCAGGCCCCTGCGAGCCTGCTCGAGCATCCACGCGATGGCTCCGTCCCCCCCACTCCCAGCTCCAGCCGACCCCGTCCCAGCCCTCTTACACGCTCGAGACAGGCCGAACGACAGCCGGTTGGGGCGCACAGCGTGCGCCCCACACTTCACACAAATCAGGACACGATCTAAGGCCTGGACCTGGTGTCCTGGCCCGACCTCCTGGGGGTCACACGCTCGGGAGGCCAGAGACTTCAACGAAGAAGCCGTCGAGGCTTGCCTCCAGCAGGCACGACAGCGAATCGCTCCCCCAGCGAAGGCCACGAAATCGTGATCGGTCGGTCGCCGCGGACGACGGGGCCGAGTCGCGGCCCTCGGAGGCGCACGGAGGATCGGGGTGGAGAGGCGGGCCACACGCTCGGCCGCCCAGGCCAGACATCGCATCGTGTCCTGGGCCCGAAGCAGAGAAAATTTGTGAGCCTTGACCACGGAGGTGGATCCAAGGAAGTCGGCCGCGGCCACTCTGGCGAAAACATCCGCCCACATGTTGCCGAAAAAATGCTCCAGGGGCTCCTGGGATGCCAGGCACGCATCGAACCCCTCGATAACAGTGCGATGGGCCTTCGTCCAAACAAAAACGGGCCTGACAGGGTCGCCCCTGTACAATTCGTGGATGCTCCGCCAGATTGACGCGTGAGGCGCTCTGGCAGAAGCATGACGACCCTCCCAAGCCGTTCCCTCGACCTGCAGCTGCAAATGATCGGTCACGTACGTGGCTGGCCTCTGGGCCCTTTGCAGGGCCTTGAGACCAGCCACCCGCTCGGCCCTGGCACCGACTGGATGGGGCCCCCCAGGCTCCCGAACAGAGCTTTGTACGGCCACAGGTCTCGGGTCAAGGCCACAACGGCCCATCCGCAGCGCCGCTCCTCAGGGAAGTCACTTTCCAGACACGAACCGTCCCCGTACAGCTTCGACGGCCACGGCAGGCCGATCGCCCCCCACTCACGCTCAGCCTGAGCGCGTGCAGGCAGCGGCCTGAAGGCAGGCCTCATGGGCAGCGCGTAGAGCACGTCCAGGGCCGAGAAGTCCTGCACCTGGCCCCCGTCCTGCCACGGGGCTGCCTCCAGGATGTCCTTCCTCCTCCTGGCGACGTCCTCAGGGTACGGCTCCGTCTCCTCGTCCTCTTGCTGCTGATGCAAGACCTTGCAGCCAAAGATCTCGTGCTCGAGGTCGCAGTAGGCCTCCCCGCAGAACTCGCACGAGCCATCGTCGCTGTAGCCAGCCTGCTTGCGGCGCTGCGGCGACCAGAAGCCGTTGGACTGCAGCTTGGCCAGCGCCCCTCTGTGCCCAGGCGCCAAAGAGGCGTGGCCCAGCCGAAGCGCACGAAGCCACACGTGCTGCCGCCTGCCTGCACCATCGGCTGGGGGCGCCTCAGGAAGCTGGTCGAGGATGCGGTGGCTCTGCCAACGGTCCAGGCTGCGATGCAGGAAGAACAGCACCTCACTGGGACAATACTGCAACAGACTGATGTGCAGGCCCTCATCATCAATCAAGATAGTGGAGCTGGCCATGTTCCAGTTGACTCTCCTGAGCGACAACCACATCGCCGACAGCGGGCCCTGTGCACTGGCCCAAGTGACGTGAGTGTCGCGTACATCCCAGGAGTCACGCAAGCACATCCAGGCACGCTGCAGGCGGGAGAGCGTCACACGCCCATCCCACACCCACGCCGCGTACTGCCCCACGATGCTGCAGGTAGCGTGGAAAATGGGGTCGAAGTTCCACTTCTGCGCGGCCAGGTACAGCGTCAGGGAGCCCGACCCCTTGTAGCCGCAGAAGACGCCAGCCATGCTCCTCATCTGCTGCAGCTCCCTGTCGCTGATGCCGCTGACCGTGGCTCCGTGCCCCACGGATGGCAACACACCCGTGGCCCAAAGCCGAGCCGCTCGCTGTCGCCCTGCTCCCTTCTGCAAGGCACGGACGCTGGCCTTCTTGCCGTGCATAGACTTCAGGCGATCCTTCTGCACGGCTCTGGTGGCAGATGACCCAGCTAAATCGTGCCCAAGGTACCGCATGTGCCTCTTGCCAGTGATCTTCAGCAGCCTGGCGTACTTCTGGAAGTGGTAGCTGGTACGCCTGGACGTCGTGAGGTGACCAGACTTATCCATTTGCAGCACCAGTCCGAGGGGCCTAACAGCCCTGCAGAACGCACGAGTAGCAATGGCCATCTCCCGCACTCCACGCGGGTCATTGCCAACCCAACACAGCGCGACATCATCCACCAAGTCCTTGGGCTGGACCTGAGGAGCGACTGTCATCGTCTGGCGAATACTGCGAGTCAGCAACACCATCAGCAGCGTCGTGGCGTGGGTGCAGCCTGCCAGGATGCCCTGACATGCCCTGCGTGCCACCGAGTAAGACGAGTACGAGTACACAGAACGCAATTGTTGGTACATCTGCACAAGCATAAACGCCATTCTCATGGGATATCCATTGGCCCTGCACTCCAACAATATGGCATCATGCCTGACCAATTCGTAGCATTTGAGCATGTCCAGCAACACAATGATGGCGTCATCATCGCACAGGGTCGCCATCTCCTTGGTAAGAGCCAAATCAAAGGCGGCATCACTCGACGACTTGCCTCCAGTGTGGCCCCAAACCTCTGGGAGCGCATGGGCCTTCTCCCACGCTGCCGAGACAGGCCGCCTCGCCCGTCCCCAGATCCTGACCAGCGTGTTCATCAGCACAATCAGACGCTCCCCACCCCCTGGCTTGGGAAGCCGCACAAGTTTCGAAATGAATCTGCCGTCTGGCCACAATAGCAGGTGCTCACACTGCTCGAAGAGGCGCGCCATGGCCGTCAGCGCCCCGCGGGAGAGG